GGTCAACTCAAAAAATAGAAATTTGGGATAATGAAATTAATGCATGAATACTTTATTTTGAAGTGAAATTGACAGATGAAACTTTCAAGAGGGCGACTGGGCGCCATCTCAAAAAATAATAAACGGAAAGGGGGGTCTTGTGACACATCTTTTTGAGGCTCCTGACAAATGCGTTTCAACCCTAGAATATGAAGTCAATATCTTCAACTACTACAAAATGGCGGAACTTTTAATAATTTCGTGTATACATTGACATTTAACTATATAATATGAGGTAATAAGCTTGAGGTCAGTTCAGAAGATGCTCGAAATGGTAGCCTTGAATTTCTTGTCATATGAACAGCCTATCCGATGTTTCACGTCGTACATTTTCGAAAGTCAATAACGCCAATATCTCTGCAAATACTTAATATTCTCTGCCGTATATCCAATTTCGAAGCAGGTTCAGTTTCGTACATCTTTTGCTTCAAATAGCCCCATAAAAAGTCCAAAGCTTTCAAATCTGGTGAGCAGGCTGGCCATTCTGTAGGACCTCGACGGCCAATCCAATGACCAGAAAAGTAGTATCCAAATAGTTTCTTACTTGTCTGGAGTAATTTGGTGGTGCTCCATCTTGTTGGAATACAATATTCATATCGTATTCATTAGGATTCACTTCGACGATTTCAGTGACGAGAGGGTCAACAGTAGTTTCTAGCATATTCAAATACAGTTCCCCTGTCGACAATTTTGTCTGTGACCATTGCCGTTTAAAAAATGAACATTCGTCACTAAAACAAATATTGTGGAGATAGGTAGGATGTCTTGCAATGGTTTCCGTCATGATTTCGCAGAATTCTGTTCTTCGATCAGGGTCATCTTCGGTTAATTGGTGTACCATTTTAATTTTGTATGGATGATACCTATTCCTCTTCAAAAGTCTCCACACAGTAGAGAAGGAGACACCTCACAAACATTCGCGACGGAATAAGTAGACTGTTCAAGATTTACTACCATCTCACCAATTATTTGCACTTGATGGTCTTCCGGAATGGACGGATGACCTGGGGGGCTTTTTGTTATGTACACTACCGGGAGTTGTGAATTTGGATACAAGTTCCCTTAAATATTTTCTACAAATAGGACGATTCGGAAAACGTTCATTAAAAATCCTTTAAGTCTCGTGAAAGTTACGCGTCGCAGCGTAAATAGAAATCGCTTCAATTTTTTCTTCCAATGGACGAGAATTGAAAACATTTTAGAGATTATTGAGGTGGAACCTTTCTACTAGTAAAACCAAAAACTTAATGAGAATATTCTAACTAAACAATGGTGTTCATTGTCGTACTGACATTTTTTGTCGTTTTCATATACAAAAAATAACTTAACAAACCTTATCGGGTTGTTGGAATTGCCATATGGCAGATAAAAAGGAATATTTCTAGAAATATTGATATTAATGTGTTTGTCTTCAGGAAATTATTAAATGTTCCGCCATTGTGTAGTAGGTGAAGATATTGACTTCATATTCTAGGCTTGTGAAGTGTTCGTCAGGAGCTTCAAAATGATGTGTCACAAGACTCCCCTTTTCCATTTAATTTTTTTTTCCAGTCAAGATGGCGACTGGGCGCCATCTTACATCCTTATAAAAAGTGGTGCTAGTTAGAACTATTACAGACATTACCTACATTAAAATAGTTTTCTCAAATGAACCAAGTGGCTTTTGTCGATGAATCTTTGGGGTCAGGTTGTTCTGGTTCAATTATCTTCCGTTTATTACATTCACACGATAATTCCTGAAGCCTTTCTGATGTATACAGGATGATTCGATAATTTTCTTACTGGTAGAACCTTCGCCAATCAGGGTCACGCAATGACGAACTTCGTCGACTTCATCGAATCCCGAGCACGCAATTTTCATGCTGACGGTATTGATCGACTTGTGTTACGTTGTCAATCGGTGCTGAATACAACTATCTTACAAATATGTTTAAACCAGTTTTTTCTTTGTTTTATTGAACACAGGAATAAACTTGACTTGAAAGTTCTGAACTCTCCTTTGCATTTCGGGTGAATATCAAATTTGAAGAAAGAACCAACAAACCTGCTAATGATCTTTTATAATAGTTAACTTTATTGTCATTCCCTGAAGCCCGGAGGATTTTCCATTTATGTAACTAATCCTTTTCTTCCATAATGTATGAAAATTAAGAAAAAATCATGGCAAGTAGTGTTTGTTGAAGGTGATAACGATTTCATTACTCTGTTCTAATTGCTACAGTTTCGCAGTTTTATCTGTTCACCGACCAGGTCGACTTAATTAAAAGTTTTTCATTCAATTAATTATTCACATCTAATCTTTTCTCTAATTAACAATGTTTTTAAAGTCAGATCAAACAGTTACACAGCTTCCTTTGTTTCGACTTTCCTTTTCTGTTGCACATAAACCAGGAAACATACTAAAGAGCAATATAAAAATTCAATGAAACTCATTTGTAAATATATAATTCAACTGTGAAATAACAGGTGTAATATTTCATTTAAATTGGTAAGTAGTTTAAAGTGTACCCTTCATAAGTGCTTATGTATAGTATGCTGTAGATCTTTGAAATATTGAACGAAAGTAATTTTTCATCGAAGAGCAAACTTTTCAGTTCACCCCAATAAATTACTGCTCAAATTGGAAGTATTTTTCACAAAGGAAAATATCTATTCATCGATAACTTATCGTATTCAGTGATTATGCCTAACTCAAGCGCATACCAAAAAGTGTCATATCAGAACTGCCTCGAGAATTAAAAAGAACTCTGGCACAAGTGTATTATATCTGAGGGAGTTTCAGCTCTAAAGATCCATCAACTTGCGCTTCTGAAGTCACGGAAGTAATTCTATCATCCATGGATGCATATATCCCCTTTTCAATGAAACGACCTTTTAACGGGAAACCTTGGTTCGACAAAAATTGCAAGCAAGCTGTCGCCTCCAAAAATCTCGCCTATCGACAGTGGCGCAAAAATCCCAGTGCCGGAAACCGAACTAGGTTTGCTAATGCTCGCAACAGCTGCAAACTTAGGGTAAATGAAAGCAAAGACAATCAGATAATTGGGGATAAACTGCTTACCAATCGCAACGGGTCTAGTCTAGATCCTTCTGGTTGGTAGCTAAAGCTGCTAATCAACACTTTACAAAATCCACAATTTTACCACTAACACAAGCGGATGGTTGAATTGCAACAACAGCCATAGAAAAAGCAAATCTACTAGCTGAACCATTTGCGTTTCACTCCACAGTCGATTTTCTGGAAAAGGTACCACCCACTATGCCCATACTAGAATCCATAATGCCGGAAATTACTTTTCGACAACGTCTATTCAGGCGAATTTTGAAACAGCTCAATATCAACAAGGAATCTGGTTCTGATGAAGTGCCAGTCATCGTACCTAAAAAGTGCTCAAATGCACTCGCACCAGTATTTTGCAGATTTTTCAACCTGTCTTACAAGAAAGCGGTTTTTCCTTCTTGTTGTAAAATTGCTCGCGTACAGCTTATTCCCAAAAAGGGCAGGAAAACTCTTTCAAATAACTATAGACCAATCGCTTTGCTAGCAATGTAAACCACCATATCCTCAAATATTTGGAAGGCTTCAACAGCTTAAGCGATCATCAATATGACTTTCGGGAACAACAGGCGACCTTCTATCGTATGTCACCCATATTTGGAATAACGCCATCGAGAAACATGGAGAGTCAAGAGCTGTTGCGCTTGATATTTCTAAGGCCTTTGACCGTGTGTGGCATGATGGTTTGCTGGCCAAACTTCGATGCTATGGCTTTTCGGATTACTTTTGTGTATGGCTCTTCAGCTTCCTGAATGAACGTTCCATGCAAGTGGCTGTCGATGGATATCTCTTTCACCATCAACGCCGGTGTTCTCCAGGGATCCATACTGTCTCCAACCCTCGTTTTATTGTATATTAACGACATTGGAAAAAAACAAGAATTCAATATATTGCTTTGCTGACGACAGCACACTTGCCTTGTTATTACATTTGGATTCCAGGACATCGGCTGCCAATGCACATCTTCACCGGCAGCAGGAGGTTGTATGTTTTAATGAAGACTAGAAGTAATTTTGAATTGGGGTGAAATTAACCAGGTTCAATTCAATGCTACAAAAACCCAGGCATCGATTTTCTCCAAAAAGGTAAATGTTTCCGAACCGGATATAATGACTTGTCAGACAATTCCGCCTTCTGCTTCGATAAGTTTGTTAGGGGTTAAAATGAACACCAATATGTCTTGGCACAATCATGTTGCTGGAATTGCAAAGGCTGTTTCTCAAAAGTTTGGCACACTGTTTCGAACCTGAAAACTGTACACCCATCGGCAGCTTTTGATGCTTTATAAAGTTCAGATCAGACCTTTTTTGGAGTATTGTTCTCATGTATGGATCTCCGCCCCAAACATACCCTGAAACTGCTGGATTCCATCCAGAAAAGAGCCATCCACCTGATTGGAGACGCGAACATCACTTGCAACCTTGATAGTCTGGATCATCGGAGAAAGATTGGAGATTTGTCTTTCATGGGAATTATTCAAGTGAATCGGCACATTAGATTTCACCAAGAGCGGTACATATCAGAAATTCGCAACGGACTATGGCTGCTCATCGTCTTGAGGTTCAACTCAGTGCACCTGAACTTCACTGTTCAAGAATTCTTTCATTTGGTGAACGGCGTTTATGAGGAATAAAGTTCCCTAGAAAGTTTTTCCAAATAGATTTAATCTCCAGCGATTCAAATCCAATGTGAATAATTACTTTCGTACAGGCACCGCTCTGAGAGCGCCTTAAGTATATTCCTGTAGTGTTTGTGTTTTGTCTTGAGAAAAAAAGGGAGACTACTTTGAAGGGTCAGAATATAAATTGAAGAATAAATGATTTTTTGAACAGATCTTGTATTTCGTATTTGCACATTTTTGTAATCAGTGGAATTCCTGTAACTATCAGAATATTTTTTCCAGGTGGAACTCTCAAAATTTACGGAGAAGCCCTATGTAAAGATGTCCCTTATAAAACTCTTCTGTTGTCGGTACGCGATTGCGCAGGAGCCGTGGTACGAGAAATGCTCGACAAATATGGTCTAACAAAAACAGATCCGTCCCAATGGTGCCTTGTCCAGGTTACTCAGCAACCTGGATGTCCAGATACAGAGTATGTTTTAGATGACGATGAATGCCCTTTGAGTATTTTGATGACGTCACCAAATACTGGTAAGTCCTTATTTTTCCAGCATTTTAATGAATATTCTTCTTGTTGCAACTTTGGAAGTTGATGTAGTAAATAACTGAAAATTCACATGATTTTCGATGGGATGAATTTGCTTTCAAAATTTGTGGGATCAAGTCCCAAGAGAAATTGTGAAAAACGGGATCGGTGTTCAATAAGAAAAATTCATTAAACATAAACTCTTCAGCAGCTTTTAATGTTTTCAGCTTGATTGAATCTTATTAATGGTGGACTGCTCCCATTATACCAACAAGAAAGTGACATTACTAACATGTCTAGAGACCTAAAGACTATTCTCGGCCCAGAGAATTAAAAAATGTTCCTTCTGTATAAAATACAAATGTTAACGAAACTGTGAAATGATACTGTATTCCGTTAATTACCAATAACCAATTTGATAAATGTCTATATGTGTACATATGGCACAAAATTTGTAGTCAGTACTTCAATGATGACTACTCCATACTTGAGTATGATAATAGGAATACAAGAAAGAAAATCTTAGAACTGGTATTCTCGGAATTGTCTTCATTCATTTAGGGAAAGCTTACTTTGTGAGTCATATTTGAAAAAATAATAGGTACTCTTAAATAGCAACTAATTTGTGAAAATAAATTGATAGTCACACATTATACAAGATGAAACTCCATCAGTCTATTTTGTCATATTTGATTGAAAAGCATGTTTTCTTGTATTTGTATATATTCATATTTTTTTGTTCTTCTATAATGATGAAAATTAATCATATTTTCTTATGGCTGGAGTAGAATTTTTGAATTCTTAGAAAAGAGAATCCATCTCGTACATCATCATGCTTATATTGGATCTGGATTGAACATTCATAGGTAGTAGTAAAACCTTCAATGAAAATCACTCAATATGCTTGTTTGATTGACGAAACATGCTAAAACAATAAATAAAAATTCCAATAATAATATGCCTTGCATTGATGTACAGAGGAGGTTATTTAACTATACTGATTTTCAACGTCCCTTGGAAGAAAAAACATCAAATACTCAAAATAATTCTTTCAATTTGAAATAGTGTAGTCATTCAACATGTCGAGAGTTTGCTAAGCTTATTCCATGTGTTGTTTTTTCTCCCAAGTTCTCTTCAATTATATTTAATGGTACTTCAAATGGTGTATTATAAATAATTCAATTAGGAGGTTGAAATAAAAGAGGACTATCTTTGTTTTACCAATAGCTTCCCTAGAAACAGTTCTTGTCAGAAAACTTCAGTTTGTATCAACCACACTCTTCTAATATTTGGCGCTGTTCTGGACTCTTTCTGGAACATCATCTAATACTTTTCATTTGCAATTTTTCAATTAAACAATCCATTTGAGAGTATCTATGAAAACTTCCCATAACTCAATCCCTATGCTTCAACGCCCTCTTGTGGAAATTAGTTGAACAACGTTTCCTTCGATGTAGGTTACTTTCTTTGAACTTATTTGAGTTCGTTTACATATCCGGTAGATGGCAGGAGGTATAGTATAACGAACAAAGTATGTTTAGCTCAGATATGTAATAAGGGATTGGACGGCACAAAAATAAAGCATTTGTGAATAGGACAGCATAATAGAAAAACCACATATTTTTGAAACCGAGATTATCCCTATTAAGAATTATTGAAAATGGCATATGTTTTTTGAAATGGAATATTGATGGACCCCTTTAAATATTTTCTTGAATATTCTTGATTGGTTTGTGAAAACAAAAATAGTAAGCACTGAATGAATTTTAGATTTGTTTCCTATTGTTAAACATGAAATGTATAAAATACGAACGAAATTCATTTTTTGTGGGGGAAAATCAGTTTTAAGCGGTTTCTTTAGGTATTTTCTCCTTCCACAATCTGTATTAATACAATCAGAAAATGTTATATCGATTTTTCAATTATTGATCTAAAAATTGTGTAAAATTCCTATTGAATTTTCTATCCAGAGTATAGTGGTAGGAATATATTTTTTTTACCCACTCTGATGTTGATGAAACTACCAATTCATTATTTCTTTCGATTCTTTTAAGTTTTTGAAGAAACATATTTTATCCATTACTCTCTCGTAAGAAAAAAAATCTTATATAGATCAAGTATGAAAGTTTAGGTGTGGGAGGTTCCACAATTCTCAAAAAAATCTTAAAATACTAAATATTCACTATACAATAGACATACAGGCTGATTCACGGTGGATGGCACATTAGACGTTTCTGGTGAACCAGACAACGGATCACTTTGAAAATTTATTGGAGGGCATATTCGGACATTCTCTAGCCAACTAAAATATTTTCGACAATGCGGTGTTGCCGCTTCTATTAGAAAGCAGTAGCAACTTTGATTTTTCAAA